AGTAAGAATTACTAATTACTAGTCTCTACATAATACTTTCATCTGACTTTATGCAAATTTAAAGTAAGCACAGAATAAATAATAGTTGGTAAAAGTTTATTTACGTGGTAGAGCCATGCTGCAGCTATATTAGTAGTATAGTTGTAACACGAATGGGTCGGCTCGGCCGGGGAAGGACCACGCTCTCACAGAAAACCAGCGTAAAATAGCAGCCTATCACTGCTGTGTTTCGTATGGTGAGTGTAGAGAACCGGAGACCCTTTTTACTGGCAAAGAGGCATTCCATCTTAGTCATCACGGGTGACAACGCATCTGCATCTTGAGTCTTTATTGAGGATAGATGTAGATTTCTATGGGTCACAGTAACCACTTACCATCAGGTGGACTGTGTGCTCGTTTGTCACCCTATCCTATAAAAAAAAAAGTAAGTAGTAACTGATTTCATAGTTTTTGTTTTTGAAGCCATGTAACCGAAAAAATGTATTTATTTATTGATTTATTGTAAACACCTTAATAAAAGGATTATAAATGGCGGTCGTTATACCTTTTGACATTCTCTCCCAGACAACCCTCTCCCCTCAAGAGAACGTCTTATTTAAAAGTGCACCCGCCTCCCTTGAACCCGGGTTGCTCGCGTATTGTGAAATTTACAGCGAGCGCTAACCATCTGAGCTACCACGGCTCTTCGACATGATTAAATAACAAATTTTACTAAAAATACAACATGGATGGCGTTTGCTGTTTAAAATTAGATCATCTCTTTTTAAATATTTCATATTAAGGAAATCGACGGAATCATACTACTAAAAATATCTACAGTGCATTTCGATCACCGTTTGATAAATTCCGCGAAGCAATATGTCGCAGTTGTATCTTTATTACTTCGTTTCAATCATTCTTCGAGTACTATTGCAGCTACATTGAAATGCATATAATATTACGACTCTTGCAAATATGCAAAATATTAGTATCAAAAAAGTATTATTGCAACCACGGAGCACTTTTGAGTAATAAATACAAAGTACTTTGTACTTTGTTTTTTGTATTTATTCCTCTATATTTTATATTTCTATATTTATTATTTTATATATGTATTTATTGTATTTATTAGTACTTTGCTCGACTCGTACGTCAACCGTTGAATTTTTCATCCGTTGTTTTTGTCTGCCTCGTTGACCTTGCGGTCGTAATGCTGATTACGAGGTCCCGGTTTCGAATCCTGGGTCGGGCCAAAGTCAGTATCGAGATGTAAGCGAGAAGTATGGCAGTGGAGAGAGTTTTTTTAATATTATGCTAAGCCAGTGCTTAATTACAATCCCACCTTTTTTATATAGGATAGGGTGACAAACGAGCACACAGTCCACCTAATGGTAAATGGTTGCTGTGGCCCATAGACATCTACATCTATCCTCGTTTGCGAATCAAAATTGTCACCTGTGAGGACTAAGATGGAATGCCTCTTTTCCAGTTAAAAGGGTCTCCGGATCTCTAAACTCACTATACGAAACACAGCAGTGTTTAGCTGCCATTTTACGCTGGTATTCTGTGGGAGCGTGGTCCTTCCCCGGTCGAGCCGACCCATTCGCGCTACAACTATACTACTAATATAGCTGCTGCATAGTTCTACCACGTATACCTGATGGTAAGTGGTGATATAGCTTCAGATATTGAAGCGCACTGACTTAACAAAAGCCTATTCACTCTTGCTTTGAACACACCGACTTGGAAACACAAATGCCGGCAACCTATTCCACTCCTTTGCTGTACGCATGATGAACGATGTAGCTAACCGTTTGGTTCGAATGCGTGGTAGGTTAACAACGAAGGGGTGGAGATTGGCCGAACGTCTGGTTGTCCGATGACACACTATACAAAATGCATCCTGTAGAAAACCGAAAGGCTGGCTACTTTGCGCCTGTGTTCGAGACTGGTAAGATTGGTTTTAACCAAATTCGGGTCCCCAATAAGCCTCTTAGCACGTAAGGACGTGCTAAGAGACAGTGACAGTGACAGTAACTAATGGAAAGCCATTAGTTACTGTCACCGCCACTTAAATAAAAAAAAATCAGCTAAAAAATCACTTGTTTTATTCTTAATCTTGTCCCTAATAGACCCAACTATCGGCCAGTACAAGGTAACTCATTATACATTTTCGTTGGCAATCCTGGCCTGGCTGATGGTAGCTTGGCCTCACTGGCCTCTGAGTTTCATTGGCATTTGGTACATTAAAACTATATGTCGTCCGATGTGTATATGTCTCCTAATTTTGGTTTTATAGGGCGATAAAGCTTAAGGTGACCATAGTACCCTCACGTACTTACTATAATATCAACTGTCAAAATGGCATCGATAAAGCGGTGGCCTTTTGTTTTTTTCCATTTGTTTCCATTATTTTATTTTATTATTTTGATAACATTTTTCCCGAAAATAGAAATAAAGTGAACATACTATCCTCGCGGGCGAGTCCAACCTCAATGGGCATTGCTGAAAACCAACGCTACGGCAATCCTGCGATAGCATTATGTTGAGTCAGTGCCCTTTTCAGCATCACATCACTCATGCAATCGGATCATTTTATGACTGTTTTTTGTTATTTACTTTTATCTTTGATGTTTTTATGTATTATTTTATTTTCTGTATCAAAACTGTATGAGTGTATGTTGCTGAATAAATGCATATCTATGTCTTTGTCTATGTCTTTTGACCCTTTATTATATGAATGACTGATGAAGAGCTATCGTATCACAGAGCCACCTATGCAAATTAAGCTGTAGTTTTTGAGTTATAAGAAAGTGACCATATTAACCGGATGACCATATTGCCCTCACGTACTCTACTCAAATTACACTGCACACTCAAAAAGTTCAAACCTATCTGAGTCACCAAGTGTGAAAGTTACTGCGCACTGGTCGATTTGTTTGGTGTGAAATAAAACAAATTTAACGCATTGTAGAGCCTTTAATTGAACTTTTTTAATTCCCGACTTTTTGGGCACTTTACAGCACCCATCCTCTGCAGCACACACGGCAAACATCCCAAGTAGTCCCAAGTAGTCAACATGTTTTTGAAGTGGCGGTGATAGGAACTCCCACATTTAGCGCATTAACTTTCGTCACCACTGCCATACTTCTCGCTTACATCTCGATAACTAAAATATAAATAGAAAATTGCATGGTGCATAATTGCACTACAAATTTATTAATATGTCTATGACGCATTATAATGAAAATGGAAGAGGCGCATCTTTCGCGTATTTTAAATTTAACTATAAAACAGTAATTTTAAAACAGTGACAGACAGCATAATATCTGATGTTCTTTTCGTATGGTCAGTGACTCGAACCGGAGACTCTTTTCATGCGTAATTACTAATTACGTTTGAATCTTGATCATCAGAGTTGTCAACACATCTGCATTTTGGTTTTCAAACGAGGGTAGATAAGTATGTTATTATAAGTAGTAAATAAGTAAGTTATTATAATATTAAGGAATTTATGGATGATAATAATCCCTGGAAATGAGGTGATCGCTACCAAGCTATTTCTAATTTGTTGTGTTGTTAATTTGTGTAACATCATGATTGTATGCTGTTATTTAAAAAAAAGTCCCGCTGGGTTTCTTGCTGGTTCTTCCCAGGACAGAGGTTTTATCCGAACCAGTGGTAATCAAACAAAAGAGTGACTTTCAATAAGTATTATTTATAATCTATATTGAATAAAAAAGTTTCTGTTTATGTAGTCCAAGGGCTACAACATCTACTAACATCAGATGACGTGTGATATTTTGTCACACTTGTATTAAAAAAGTATTAAAATTGATTAACCATATTGCATACTAAATAATTAACAAATATGTATGATTTTTCATTTTAAAACGTGTTAATTTTAAACTCAGTGTCGTTATCTAAAGAATAACTGTTTTCATTCAATAATCGGGGACGTTCACGGAGGTACTATGTTAATTGAAAAATTATTCGACCGTTTTCAAAGGTTTCAATGAGGTAGTTGTATACTATATTATTATATGCAAGACTGACATAACTCAGGTGGTGGGTTACGATAGAATAAATTTGAGATTGCTATTTTTTTTTTGATAAAGGTGACAAACGAGTCCACCTGATGGTAAGTGAATACCGTGGCCCATAGACATCTACATCTATACTCGATTAAGAATCAAAATGCAGATGCGTTATCACCCCTGAGGACTAAGATGAAATGCTTATTTTACAGTAAAAAGGGTCATCGGTATTCTACACTCACAATACGAAATACAATAGCGTAAAGTCGCTATTTAACGCTGGTATTTTGTGAGAGTGTGGTCCTTCCCTGATCGAACCGACACATTCGTGTTACAACTATACTACTAATATAGTTGCAGCTTGGCTCTATAGGGTATAGGATTTAAAAAATAAAAACATACAAACAAGTGAGGGTAGAGTTCGAAACTCCCACTCGTTCGAGCAGTATAAATTGCTCTCGTCTACTCTCGTCTCTGCCTCTGCATCTAGTGGTCCTAAGCACGACTGCTTAACGTGTGGTACCAGGTTCTAATAATTTAAAATTAAAAATTTTCTACAACCGACTTCAATATAAATTATTAAAAATAACTCCAAAACTATAAGTCAGACCTTTATCAAATTTATATGAGACCACATGTGAAGGATCAGCTTTCAAATAAAAAAGAATCATCGAAAACGGTTCACCCAGAAAAAAGTTATGAGGTAACACACATAAAAAAAACACAGTCGGATTGAGTACCTCCACCAGTTTGAAGTCGGTAGAAAAGCAGGTAAAGCCGTTGGTCCTGCGCCTGATCTCTCTGCGATTGTGTCGGATTGCCGTCTCATCGGACTATAAGAGGAAAGGAATAGAAAGTACATCTGTGGTTGTCCACACACGTGTACTATAATCCCGTTCTGCGCAAATACATATATAGTTCCGCGACCGAAATTCGGTCTGCAATCCATTATAAGATGGATAACGTTAAAATTAAAAACAAAAACTAAACATATAATAATATAAACCATGTAATTAAACAGAATAAGGCATTACTTGTCAATTTAAACCCTGCATCCCGAGCGATCCAGTCGCGATATGCTGACACGCGAGTGTACAGAGTAGTTATGTCGAAACTCTTGCCACTTACAATACCAACGAGCAAGTCTCTATCGCTCCGTTCCGCTGGATCAGTAGTGCCCTTACATACCAACGGACCTCCAGAATCGCCCCTCGCCACATCCGTCAGTGCCGAATCTGAACAAATGAAGCCGTTCATATTCATTTCCCATAGAATAGAGCACTGCCACTTTGTCAAGACGTCTATCCACGCAACTAACAACACGTGTGACGCAGCCTCAGCGAGACCATGGCTTGTAATTCCGAAACCCACCACAAGACATCGTCTGTGATAATCAATATCCAAACTAGCCGGTATCACGAAGGTGATGTAATCGTTGTAAAGCCAATCGTTCACGAAAACCAGCGCTATATCGTTGTTGGGAAAGTTGAAATTACTGTGTATCACTACTTTGTTTAAATAACGCCATTGGTTAGTTGGTTCTGTGATGTTTTTACCGGAATATATGATGAAATTCTTTATGTTCCCTGCAACAACGCGCAACATGTTAAAGTTGTTCAAGTAGTGGTAGTTGTAATCTTCGAAACAGTGGGCTGCTGTAAGAACTTTGTTCACACCAATGATACTTCCGCCACACAAATTTTTCCAGAGTATATTTTCTTCGCTGTACTGTCGTTCCGGCCTCTTTATGGATACAAAATAAGGTATTTGACCGACAGTAGCTGGGTCACCGTTGACTATGGTTTGTTGCACATATAATTTCGAATACATCAGCGTAGTAATGAAACGTTTATCTTCACATAATACATCTGTACTGGTAAGTATGAGGATTAGCAAATAATTGAGGAACATTCATTAAGATTTTGAATCGTCCGCCCATAGCCGTATCATATTTGACAATGACAGAACCATAGATTATTATATATATACATTAGAGAGACAGAACTACGAGTAGATAGAAATTACATGTTTCAGAGATCGATGGACTTAGTGATTATACTATTTTATTAATAGACATTTTTATTTACATTGTTTTGAAACTCGGGGTAATTACTAGCGTGTATGTATGAAATTGCTTTAAGTTTTGAGCTAAGGAATTATGCTTGTGCGGTCGAATTTTTAATACTGACACTACAATATTGTTCAACTTTTCATTTAGTGAAAACAAAAATGATGTAATAAATTATTTTAGAGTAACTTAGAAAGCCAGGTCTTGTAAGGTTGCGACTCCTTAGATCTGTGAATTAAACCAAAGCATCCCACACGCAGTGTTGGGCAGTATTTGAATTACTTGTAATTAAAATAAGTATTTTAATTACAATACGTATTTGGTATTTGTATATCAATTACTTCCTAAAATGTAATTTGTAATTGGTATTTCATATACCTGACGCGGAGATATTTTTTAGTTAGTATTTCAAATACTTATGGCATCAAAATACATTTGAACATAAATATATTTAGCGATCTGGACCTGTAGAAAGTTGTTTTCTTTAGCAGGTTGTATTCATTCCCCAACAAGAGGCTGTTTGTTTAAAAATCTAGTGTTCTTGAAAGGAAATTCTTCTTTTAGTGATTAATGGGCTGGGCTGGATTAGTTCAATTCTATTTACATAAGCTAACACCGGACTGTATTTTGTATTTAAATAAAAATAGTTAAAATACGATAATTTGTATTTTACATTTTAAATACACGACTTAAAAATATTTTGTTTTTATATATATCATATATCGTATCAAGCGATAATATAGCATATAGTATCGTATAGTATTTAGTAGTAGCATATAGTATTTTGTAATTTGTACTTTAATTAAAGCAAGCACAGCTCTCCCCACACGTATGGACTATCATTGTATATATCGGCAATACAATCAATTGTTGCTTATAAAAAAGTAATATTTCTTTTGGTAATTATTAAGTATAAGATGTGTATGACAGGGTGACGTTATATCCCCGGAACTCTTCACCGCTGCATTGGAAGACGTTTTCAAGCTTCTGGACTGGAAAGGATACGGTATCAACATCAATTTCGAGTACATCACTCACCTTCGGTTTGCAATCGATATAATCCTTATGGCAGAATCGCTGGAGAACCTAAGCACTATGCACAATGACCTCAATAGTGCCTCCCAACGGATAGGTTTTAAGATGAACATGGACAAAACAAAGATCATGTGTAACGTCCATGTCACACCTATGCCGGTAGTTGTTGGAAGTACTAAGCTCGAAGTTGTCGACGAGTATGTTTACCTGCGACAACTATTCCGACTTCGACCACAATTCGGTAAACTCAATCGACGGATTCAACTCGGCTGGGCAGCGTTCGGGAAATTATGACACATCTTCTCGTCAGGTATACCTCAAAACTTAAAAACGAGATTGTACAACCAGTGAGTGTTGCCAGTGATGACTTATGGATCTGAGACGTAGTCCTTCACTGCTGGCCGTGTGAAGAAACTCAAGGTTACTCAGCGAGCTATGGATAGGGCTATGCTCGGGGTTTCTCTGGGTGATAAATTTAGAAATGTGGATATCCGCATTAGAACCAGAGTGACCGACATGGTCCAACGGATTAGTAAGCTGAAGTGGCAATGAGCCGGCCATATAGAAGAACCGACAATCGATGGGGAAAAAAGGTTCTCGAGTGGCAGCCTCGTATCGATAGGCGAATTGTAGGGTGACCCTCCACTAAATGGAATGACGACCTGGTAAGACGTGCAGGAAGTCGATGGATGCAGGTGGCTCAGGGCCGTGCTTTGTGACATTCCTTGGGGGAGGCGTATGTTCAGCTGTGAACGAAGATAGAATGGAAACGAGAAGGAGCAGTGAAGGGCTATAATGATGATAATGAATGGTGTACAATTTTTTATTCTATATGTCGGAAATTACAACAGGAGATCCCACTTCTGATGTCGGAGATTTACAATAGAGGATTCCACTTGTGATCTCGGAAATACATCAGGATAGCGTTAATTGTTAAAAATAATATAATTATGAGTGCGGATGTTCAACTTGCTCTCTTGCTTTCGCAGTTTAATCATTATCGGTAATAAGACAACGTAACGCAGTATACATTCAGTATAGTGAAATTACAGTTCGACCACACCGTAACACGTCTCCGCCACAATCACACACCAGTGTAACGTGAGGTACGTAATTACACGATAACACCAAATTATGTACAGCAACAGCAACACTACTATCTCAATGTAACACAGGGCAGCCTCTTAGCAACACCAATCCTCTTTGCCTGCACTAGAAGAATTACAACAGCGAACAGAACCACGACAATATCTTAGCACTAGTAGAATGACCTCACTCGTTGAATGACTAAGGCGGAATCTCTCGCGCACGGCACCTACAGTGAACTTTATACTACAGACACAAGAGGGGGTTTCTCGATATAACCTCCATTCTACCTCGATCCAACCGGGTATTTTATAGACACTCCGACACGGCCATCCTGACGTACGACCGTCCTCGGGCGTGTATTTTATGCCTTCCTGTAACAAACACCAATTCGTCCGCTCGTCCATCCTGACATGAGTGGGTACATATTATTAGTTCGCAAAACTAAATTGTTAGATGGCGCTGCTTGTTGTACTATGGCACCATCAATCCACGACACGGCCATCCCTGACTAGCATCCGTCCTCGGTTGCAGTGCCTGTAGACAAAATATGCTCAGAGATTAATCTAGCTCGGCTATTCTGCCAATAGAAACAAGGCCGATTCCAAATGGTACTTTACTTCTCCTAAATCTAAGTACAACAGTCAACTGTCATAATTGACAATGCCTTGTCATTAAGGCTTCGTACACAGTGCTTTATTGTGGAAGGTCCGATCAAAAAGTTCCAATACAGTAATTTTAACAACTTTGTTACTCTTTAACATAATTCATAAGCAATGCATATTCAACTCGTGAAACTTTCATTGAAATCTGTGCACCAACACAGACCAGAATCGCACCAACGATTCTATACGTATCTGCCGTCACATATGCCAGAATCGCACCAACGATTCTCCACATATCTACAACCACATATGCTACAACACATGAAGGGCTCTGTGCACCAACACAGGCCAGAATCGCACCAACGATTCTTTACGTATCTGCCGTCACATATGCCAGAATCACACTAACGATTCTCCACATATCCGCCGCCACATATGCAACAACGCATGAGGAGCTCTGTGCACCAACACAGACCAGAATCGTACCAACGATTCTCTACATATCTGCCGCCACATATGCCAGAATCGCACCAACGATTCTCTACATATCTGCCGCCACATATGCCAGAATCGCACCAACGATTCTCTACATATCTGCCGCCAAACATGCTACAACACATTAGGGGCTCAGTGCACCAACACAGGCTCGAATCGCACCAACGATTCTTTACAGACCCATCGCCACATGTTACTCATGAGGTGCGGTCTAAAGTTTTGAGTATGAGTATACAAGCATTCTTAATCAAATTTGGTCTCACTACCACTGTCTTCAACTATGACATCTAACTCTCGAGGAACTTGGTGATCGGGGATCTTCCTCACATGATCGTGGGGGTATTTGGTACTTTGCACACTAAACTTTAACCGATTTCGGTTAAATTTACAATATTAAACTCTTGCCACTAAACCTTGCCGCAACACAATCTTTGATGAGAGAGCGTTTGGCACCAGAATCATAATAAAATGGGTACGACTCACCAGCATTCACCAGCACACCGCTAGGATTGCTCGTATAGCAAACGTCAACACGTCACTCACTGTTTGCCTCTGCGGCAGTCATAAGGCAAGCGCACATGGCTATTAAAACAAACCAGCACATGCCACAGTTAGCTGCCATGAAGCAAGCTCACGTGGTCAAAACAACAGCACAAGGCGTGCCGCACTCGCACAGCTACCCGTCGTATCTCACCAGCGCCAGCGAGACGCTGCACCGTACCACGCACGCCAAGCGTCAATGGGAGCAGCAGGAGCACCTGAGGTTTCACAGACATCGTCGGGGTTGTCGTCATCGTGATCTCATGTATCAAATGATGATCGTTAGCAGTGGAAAATAATGTGTCCGCGGCGTCATAAGCAGACAGCTTCCTTCCACTCAAGATTGCGCGCCACAGCACCACGCCTTCCACTGAACTGTCAACATCAAATTCCAATTTTGTAGACTACGTAATACACGGAGTAAACTGTAACACTTATCAACACATTAGAACACAGAAATACATTACATGAATGTAAAATAAACGAATAAAACTATCTTTACGGCGTTTAATTTTATTTATATTTATTTCCACTACCATAGCTACCATTACCAGTAAATATGGTGACTGTAGCGTTCGCTTAAATATAAGAAATCCGTTACCACTGCTGAACATAGGCCTCCCCCATAGATTGCTTCATTGGGGAGATATTTGCAATAGTTGCCATGCCTGGCAACCGCGATTTTTTATTTTTTATTATTTGTTTCCCTCTGTCGCCTCTACGACACCCACGGGATTATATGGGGTAGTGGATATTCTTACACCGCCGCTACACAGCAAAATATAATAAATAATTAAAATAAATTAAGTTTAAAAACCACGTTATCCGAAATAATTCTTTCGCCTCTATGTAATTATTTTAAAAATGAGATAACTGAATAAACCAAATTAAGAAACACGATCTGATGACCGTCGATTCTGATGACAACCAGGATAATTAAAAATTAAAAATGTTATATATAATGTTAATATAATTATTAAGAATAACTCAAAAACTATTGGTCAGACCTTTCTTTTTATTTTTTTTATAGGATAGCGTGACAAACGAGCACACAGTCCACCTGATGGTAAGTGGTTGCTGTG